ATGTCAAGACAGGATTATAAAAAAATAAATTAGATGGTCATACCGGATCTGTCTACTCAGTCTGTTTCTCTTCTGATGGAAATACTTTAGCGTCTGGTAGTGAAGATAATTCAATACAGTTATGGCATGTTAATAAAGGAATTATAAAAAAATAAATTAGATGGTCATACCGGATCTGTCTACTCAGTCTGTTTCTCTTCTGATGGAAATACTTTAGCATCTGGTAGTAAAGATCACACTATTCGTTTATGGGATATTGCAACAGGAAAATAAAAAAAATAATTTGGTTATGATGATTGGGGTTTTAGGGCAAGGTGGAACTCAAATTAATTAGATGGTCATACAAGTACTGTCTACTCAGTCTGTTTCTCACCTGATGGAAATACTTTAGCGTCCGGTAGTGAAGATAAGACTATACGATTATGGGATGTTAGTACAGGAAAATAACAAAATTATTTTTATGATTGTTAGGGATCTAGGCCAAGGTGGAACAAAAGTTAATTATTAGGTCATACTAGATCTGGCAGTCCTGATAAGTCAATACGCTTATGGGATGTTAAGATAGGTTAATAAAAAGATTAATTAGATGATCATAATGAATAGGTAAACTCAATCTGTTTCTCTCCTGACAGTAATATTTTAGCATCTTGTGGTGGAAATCCTTACAAAATCTATGGAGATAACTCGATACGTTTATGGGATGTAAAGTCAGGATTATAAAGAACTAAATTAATGGGAGATATAAAATCAATCTGTTACTCTCCTGATGGAAATACATTAGCATCTGGTAGCGCAGATCACTAAATACGTTTATGGGATGTGAAAACAGGATAATAAAAAACTACATTATATGGTCATACCTGTAATATCTGCTCAGTTTGTTTTTCCCCTGATGGAAATACTTTAGCATCTGGTAGTTATGATAACTTTATCCTATTATGGGATGTTAAGATAGGATAATAAAAAGATAAATTAGATGCTCATACTGGATCTATTTGGTCAGTATGTTTCTCTCCTGATGGAAATACTTTAGCATCTTGTAGTTAAGATCACACTATACGTTTATGGGATGTTAAGAAAGGAAAGTAAAAAAATAAATTAGATGGTCACTTAGAATATTTCTACTCAGTCAGTTTCTCTCCCGATGGAAATACTTTAGCATCAGCTTGTGGAAATGTTATGGTAGCTGGAGAGAACCTTATATATTTGTGGGATGTTTAGACAGGATAATAAAAATATAAATTAGCTGGTCATGCTGCATCTATTCGGTCAGTATGTTTCTCTCCTGATGGGAATACTTTAGCATCTGGTAGTAGAGATCGCTCTGTGCGTTTATGGGATGTTATGACAGGATAATAAAAAACTAAAACTCTATAATTCATCAAATGCAAAAGGAAACAAGTTAGAAGATTCAGGAAAGGACATTTAGATTATTCTTAACATGCTCAACAACATTAAAGACAACGACATTAATTTAATGGATGTCTCCTCATTAGAAATAAAATAAGATATAATCAGTTATATAAAAGAAAATTAAAAGATCATCTCGTTTTTAAAATTTTTAGTTCATCTCACGGCTCTTGATGAGTAATTCATTGTGTGTGGATCAAATTCACTTCAGCTATTGGTGAAAATGAAGGCAGATTTGAGTAATTAAAGTTGGGAAGGCATAAGGATAAAGAATGCTTCTTTATTTGGGGGAACTTTTGTAAGATGCAACTTGAATGGATCTGAATTTAATGATGTGGACATTAGTGGGACTAATTTAAATGGAGCTTAACTATTTAACTGCAAGTGGAAGAACATTAAAATACATGAATTAAATGAATTAGAAATTCAAAGTGATTTAGTGTTATCAGTTAGTATATCTCCTGATGGTTTGACATTAGCAATTGGTGGTGGTGATCATAGGGATAATGATAACTCTATCTTTTTATGGGATTTAAAAACAGGATAATAAAAGGCAAAATTAGATGGTCATACTGGTGATGTAAACTCAGTCTGTTTCTCCCCTGATGGAAATACCTTAACATCTGGCAGTAGTGATTTGTCTATACGTTTATGGGATGTTAAGACAAGAAAATTAAAAAATAAATTTAATGGTGGTTCTCGTGAAGTTAGATCTATCTGTTTCTCTCCTGATGGAAATACTTTAGCATCGGGTAGTTATGATAACTTTATCCGATTATGGGATGTTAAGACAGGATAAAAAAAAAAATTAAAAGGTCATACCCTATCAGTCAGGTCAGTCTGCTTCTCTTCTGATGGAAATACTTTAGCGGCTGGTAGTTAAAATGACTTTATCCTATTATGGGATGTTAAGACAGGATTATAAAAAAATAAATTAGATAGTCAT